TATTAGCAAGAGATCTGAGTGCAAGTAAAAACATGAATAATACCTACTAGCTTAGAATAATCTAAGCCTACTAGTATGTTATTTACGTTAGCAAATACGTTGAACAGGCAACCCCTAAAACAAGCACAGATGCCGGAGATTGCAAAATTGGCTAATATTACGTGACACTTAAATCTGGATGACGTCATTAGTTACATCCTTATATTTTCAGCAGTTAACTAACGCGCAAAGAAATAATATGATTTCTTAACTTAACCCACCTACAATTTACGTAACTGGTATATTCAAATTTTGTACAAAAAGCTTACTCGACATTTCGAAATAAAGGTATTTCGAAATGTCGATTTAAATAATTTATATGCCACATTTTCATTTCTTGAAGCCTGTCTCATTGTATGTTCATTTAATGAGAATTAAGCCTTGGGGCTTGATACAACGGACTATATGGTTCGAAATACCTTCAGATCGAACATTTCTAGTGAAGCTTAGTACATGATGTGTTTTAATATTCTAAATGCAGGACGAAAACTCCCGTGTGCCAATTTTGTGTGATTTTGGAGAAAACTTACCTCAAAGTTCTTACGTCAAAGTACTTCCCAGGTCTAAACTAAATAAAGCAAGTATGCCGTATTGGTTCGACGACAAGTGATACAGATTTTTTATTATTTTGGCTAGAACTAAAAAATAATAATATAGTAAGGTAATTCCAATAAACACGATAAGTAGCAAATAATAATAAAGTTTTGCTTTCAATAAAATTTCAGGCGTTCTGAATTTTAAAAAGTTTAGACACGCACTCATTTAGATGGCGATATCGCCGAAGTCAAACGGCTTTAAGAGTTGCATTATGGTGAGAACAGTTTGTATGATTTTTAAAATGATTTTTGGGCGCTACAAACGTGAAATGAAAAAGAATAAAAGTTAACCATTTTAAAGAAATTTTCGGTTTTCGTAACTTACGCTTGCATTTTGGAGAAGCGACAAAGCGTAATAAATAGTACTTTAAATTCCTGTTAATAAATATTTAATGAGTAATAAACTAAATAACATTATTATTTTTTGAGTTTTGATCGTTTTTGTAATTTCTAATTTGTAAAAATCGAAGAACTTTGTGGTAAGTTTTCTCCAAAACCATATAAAATTGGCACCAGAGGAGTTTTCGTCCGGCATTTAGAATGTTAAAACACATCACGTAGGTAATAAGCTTCACTAGAAATGTTCGATCTGAAGGTATTTCGATACACAGTGCAACGGCAAAATTTATAACGCATCCTTTTTTTATTTTTTATAACGCATTTATTAGAATTGCAACGAATATTCGATATTCAGCCGAATGCCGAATACCCAAAAGCAGGAGGAGTAAATAAGAAAAAGTAGTGTAAATTATCAGGTAACTTTTATTCATGCATTTTTCACTTGTATAAAAGAAATTAAGAAATATTATGCTATTTCTTTTAGGCTATCAAATTCTTTATTTGAAATGAAAGTAATTTATGAAATGAAAACTACCTACTCATTACACGGCATGAGACCCAGACTCGGCTACAAGCTGAACATGGGTCGACACTCCTCTATCTTTCATGCCGAAATATACGCCATAATTGCTTGTACTTGTGAGGCGACTGAGGCTAGGTCCAGCGTCCTGTTCCAGGTCACTCTGACATCGAAGGTATTGAAGCAGCGGATGAACTGGCAAAGGCTGGTGCTAGGGAGACTAAGGGTCATAAGCATACAAAAGCCCTGATTGCTCCTACAGTGCCAAACACTGTAGAGAAGCACTGTCACTGGACATGAATGGTATCAGAATGTTTACTAGAGCCTGAACAAGGTATTGTGCCTTGAACAAGCACTTGTCAAATATTGGACAGAGAGAAAACAGATAATGTAGATTCTGCCATGAGGCGGATGAAACTCCTGTGCATCTCCTCACCCAGTGCTTCCCTCTAATGGGCGCAAGAAATTCCATACTGGGTAAGCGCAGGCCATACCCAGAGGACATAAAAACTGTCGGAGCCAGGAAAGTTCTTCAGTTCTTTAATTGTGTTGATCTTGGCTCCGAACTGTAATTCGTGGTGCAGTAATGAGGGGCCGCATAGGCCCCAAATGAAGCCACTCTAATAATAATAATAATAAATACGATAATAATAATAATAATGTTCACTTATTTTTATGTTTATAATAATAATGTTTATTTACTTATTATTATGTACAGTTTACTCATTACTAAATAAAAAAAACTTACTAAGTACCTACTTATTGTTTACAAACCGAACTAAAATTTAGTTTTTAGCAAGTTAATGAACTGAAATGAAATAAACAATTGCTTTCTTCATGAAGTCATAAAGTTAAATTATAAATTGAAAATTAGTTTTAGTAGCAGTAGAGCTCCCTGTGAAAGAGTTCGTCCACGGAAGTGCTGCAACCTCACCTACTTCTGCCTCAAGCAGTCGCGGACGCAATGGCAGTGGCCCTCAGATCTTTGCGATGTAAAGATGCGCATGACTTGTTCGTGCCATGACTTGGTATCATAAAAAGAAACATCATACCTTTGGTATAGTAAAGCTACATGTGATCATACGTTAAAACTGCTTTTATCACGTGGAAGTAAAAAACCATACGGAATTACATGAAACAAATTGAGTATCTATACGTCAAATTTTACAACTCTTCTGAAAGCTCTCTCCTGAAAAGTCACTTTGTTCAACCAAGGGTGTGATGTAATAAACACATTACTTAGACAGTGACAAATACTCAGATTTACTTATATTTAATTAGATAACTAAGTAAAGAAAGCAAAACAGGTTAAGTCTATCTTTGAAACGTAACCACGTTTTCAACTTCCCCATTCCAATCATCGCTTCATAACAACCGTGGACACGCGAATCATTGACAGCGCAAAGTGTTACATGAACCGCTGAAAATTGCGTAAGTTTTTGAACTGCTTTTCAGAATTGTTGTTTATTTATATGTCTAGTTAAGTAACTCGTTACTCGCCTAACTGCCGGAACCTTTTTGTATAATAATTATTTTATACCTGTGATTTATTATTTGCTCCTTATACCATTCTACGGGAGAAATATTTGTATGGCCTACGTTTATTTCTCTCGTGAGTTTGGGTGTAATTTGTGGTTGTCTATGTGTGTGTCTATGGCACCCGCGACACAGGGTTTTCCTATTGCGGGGCTATGTAGAGTGCGTGGGTTTAAAAAAACCATTCATGATACATGTATGTATGACTTTTGAACGTCTTATTATGCCAACTATGATGAATTCAAATTTTTGCCATGGTCCAACATATCCTGGCCGAACAATACGTAACGTATGCGTCAATGTTGTATTTGCGGTCCTCGTTAACGCGGGCGAGAGACGGTGGTGAAAGTGATTGCGCAATGATGCAAATAACTAAACACACTGCAACTGCAGCTATCCAAGATATTGGGTTAATTCATTTTATTTTTACCTTACTTATATTCGTTTTATCAGAGCAAGACTAGAAGCACAATGTTGGATAGCTGCATATCGTAAGGTAAAAAAAATAACTTGAGGTCGAAGGACTTGATTTCATTATAATCCTATTGACAATTAAAATAATAGTACGTTTTTCAAATTCTTCCTTTTTTACTCAGCTGAATTAAACACCTAAAAATGAATATTATTTATATAACAATAATACTATTTTAAAAATACCTTACCTGTGTTTTTTTTTTAAAACAAACCGTATTATTTCTACTCAATTCAAATCAAATGAACCATCACGAACTGAATTATTCAAGACTCGAACAAGGAAAGTACTAAATGTATATTTTTTTACTTCATTATGTAATTACAGGCGTAAGTAACAAGCAGTAGTGTAATCCCAGTATGCATTGTTAACAGTTTCATACCAAATATCGTCACGTGTCAGTTATAAAAGCAACATACCACCAAATCTGTTTTTACAAGCATGCACTTTGTACGTCGAAGTATTCTATCCTGTTTTATAACAACGCGTTGATACTTAAGTAGAAAGTTAAGTAAATTTTGTATAAAAACCTTTATTATTTATGAGTCACCATATGTACCACACAATTTCAGCTTCTGTTGCGTATTTATTGCGTGTTTATTTATATAATATGGACTTGCGGTTGGACAAGTAAGAAGACATCTTGACCGCTTTCGACGTTAATTTTTTTTAATAAAATTTAAAATTTCAAACTTTTTATAATTCATCAAATTGAACTTCATAGTTCCATCTAGATGCGCAGGGTATTGATAATTGAAATGCTTTTTCTTTTTAGTTCAATATTGCACGAAATCTTTGTTATTGCGTACTTATTTTTTTATTTGCATTTCTTGTTTTTTAGTTATTACTTATAAGTGTTTATTCTCTATCTTCACGTTGTTATTGCAAGCTGTGGTCACTTGTAACTAAACGTGCAATTACAAATGTCCACCACTATATTTAATTTATTCTGTGTATGTAGTATTGCTGCAACTGTTAGTGAACCCAATGAAGCAATCCTTATCCCTTTATGGGATAAGCTCTCCTTTGTACACTAATAAAAGTTTAGTTGGAAGAAATCCCTTCATGGGACAAGCTCGCTTTTATTTATACACTCGCTTTTATTCGTACACTAATATTTTAAATTGTTTCTTAAAATTTGTAATTTACTTTGTGGTACAATAGAGTCCTTATATATTTACATATATACATACACACATACCTCAAAACCATATGAAACAAAAAAATTGCCATTGTGGCTTCACTAAATCGCTACATATTCCATTTATAATACTGCGTCTGACATTATGTCGATCTTCGCAACACAAAGCGTAAAGCGGAAGCTTAGGTAAGCACCTTTAATACCATAACATTTAGCAAAAACTATCTTGTGATCAAACAAGACACGTTGTTGTAACTAGCTACAGCAGCTGTGGGGGACGACACCACTTTTCTCTTGAGTTTCACCAGCTGTCTAGCGCGCAGTCCAACCTGCGCTCGCGACGCTGGAAAACGTGCGCGTCCACGTCTCTTCTTCCGACTTCGAATAAAACTACGATATAATTATATTTTTTCGCAACAATATCGTAGACTTAAACTAAACTATTGAGTGAATAATTTTGCGAGATAAGGTATTGTGTGTCAGTGTTCGGTTACTTTAGAAAGTAGCAGGTTAATAAAGGAATAAATAAAACTGATTTTTTTTCAAGTTGTGCACCACTGCTGTTGGAATAATTCTGAGGTTCGTTTTACAAATTAATACAGTTTGCTTATTTACATTATGGATTATTAACTATATAATAGTTTTAAGGTGTTCCTGTAACGCATCGACAACTATATTTCAGAGAGTTTGTATGTAGAGTTTTAACAAACACTCCTATTTCTCTATGACTTTCCTGGAATAAATTTTTTCCCGCTTTTCTGTATATAATTATGTAAACAGATAAAAAAACAATAAAAATATCGCTATAGCACCTTTAGGTTCTCGGTAATTAAATTGACCTTTCCGAACATTCTTCTTTGTAAACTCGATCACATTATCAAGTTTTTATGTTTTTGCTTATTTATTTTAAAACAATTAAAGTCATCTCTGTCATTTGACGCATCATATAAAACCGTTCCGGAAGAAGCTGTATGCCAGACTGAATTCACTGACTACCCATATTGAAATATAAAAGCACAGAAACAAAGGACTCACAAAAAATGGAACACGAACTCTTAAATGAAATTCATTATCTCGGCAGTATTTGGCCGCATTACAACAATCATGAGTTAATGTGAATTAATTTTTTTTGCTTTTGTCGACAGTCACTATCGAAACTCTATTCTTTCGTGACTAACGAAGGCAACAATCGAGTTTGCGGTCCCACGGCACGAATTCTACACAAAACATAGCAATTGATTTGGGGACAGGGTTTATAGCAATTAAAAGCCTGTTTGCTATAGACTTGTACGTATGTAAACATAGCTCATCAAAAAAATATTTTTAGGAAGCTTATCTTGACTGGGTAGTAGTATAATAATTGTGTAAAACCCGTTAATTAACTCAATTAACGAAAATGTCATTATTTTTAGCAACCGGAATTTTGAGTAAAATAATTCTAAAAAAAAGTTTAGTATATAAAATGTGACAAAAAATGCCAATGTCTATGCCTATGCAAACATGATCGAGTTTTCAAAACTTCCTGTCTAGAATCCAAATACTTAACCCCAAATCTCAAGTTAAGCTTACAATATTATTTAGCTCTGTCTCGATTTTTAACGCACTTTCAGATGTTGGCATTCTAGTCTTTAATTTGATCTGAATAGTGCTACTTTCTTTAGACACTTTGTGTACCACGCTGCATAATATGTACGAGTATGTCTCTTGCGGCAATGCAGCAGCAGGGTCGATTCGTATGCGCAACAACAAACAATTGCTGTCGCTCAACACCACATACAGAGTCCCATCTAGGAAACGATATGAGGGGTCTACAATGTCAAAATATAGAAATGGAACTTTGTTGGAGTTTGATTTCTCAAAATTTAGAGCAAGCTGACAAAAGTCAACAAAAGATTTTTTTGTTAACATATTCAAGAACAGCAACTACATGCTATATTTTATAAAAAAATATTTAATATTATTGCGTTACGATATTCCAACACAACGATATCGTTCGCTAGTACAGTGATTTTAATGACTCTATATTGCAAAAAAATATACGTCTAATACTATTTTCCAATGATATAAGACCCCCATTCCAAAATACATCCCTGTTTGCCAACCTGATGTTGAAACATAATACGTGATATATTTATCAATCGAGACAGTTTTACGAAAGTCGAGTAGTGCTCGAGGTAACGATTGGTGGTGCGCATTATTGGTACGTATTGAATAATCTTAACATGCACCACGTAACGGTTTCCTTTAAGTATCTACCTAACCGAATAGGATTACATAGATGTTATGTACATACCTGGAATATTAATGAACGTTTTCCAGCAGTTCTCTAGATGATGCGTGGCGCCATCGAAGATAAATACTTTCAAGGGCATGAATATTTCTTTAATGGTACTAGAGTTAACGTCAGCTACGACCTAGGCTCCTAGGTTGATCATAGTTTTGTACATAATTGTTTTAATTTATTCATTACATAGTACTTCACATTATAATACGTAATCTAATTTAAGTAAAATAATTTCTTCCATCTTAGATGACCTAGGCCCCACCTAGCGTGGGAAGGAAGAAGAAGAAGGAGAAGAATTTCTTCTATCTTTTTAAAACTTCTTCGAGGGCCTACAGCGTAAACCGTTTGGCCACCGAAGTCATCAAATTTATAAATATCATCTCGATCTCGTAGACTGCAGTTTGTCCAATTGTTAGCAATATTTATCCAAAGTATTTTATTACTTCTAAGTAGTTATACTTAATATGTATATTCACGGTAAGCTATTTTTGTACCTAAACTTTAAAGTGTCCTTAGTATTTGAAACCTCCAATTATGATTTTAAAGACAAAAAGCGCCTTTAATTAATCTCTTATAGGCGAAGAAACACCGACTGAGTAAGCCAAAAAATCGGAAAAGGTGCATTAACCGCTTTGAAGATTTTTCGAAACCCCTGTGGCCTATTATGGGTCTTAATTCGTTCACAGCGATCGGAAATATGGCTCAATGAGTACGTTAGGCACACAAATAAACTTCAACCATTTGAAATTCTATCGTAGGAATCTCAAAACAGAAGTTAATAAAAACGACAACGAATTTTGGTCTGAAATCGCATCTTATTGTTACATAATTGTGGAATCTAGAAGGTTGTTAAATTAAAACTTTTCATTATAAAGTTATCCTAATAACTATAGTGTAGGTACCTGTATTGCAATGTACAGAGAGTAATAGATTTATTCAGTGACTCTAAAAATTGTCACTTAAACATACACTATGAATTCAATTTCTTATTTATTATTCATTTCGGTGTGTCATTGTTCACCAAACAAGGCCAGCTAATTCAAGTTCGTGTAATAGTCATTATTTGATCGTTAATTCGTATTGTTATTATAGATATTCAACGCGTTTAGACTAATAATATAGTTATAATATTGCAAATTTAATGTCTATTATAGTTGATTGCATTTTACGCTTTACCGCAAAAATGCTTAGATTGTAATGCCATTCATTTAAAACATTAACTTAGTAGGTTTGTTATTATTACAGATAAAACAATATTTTTTCCATCAGCCCTTATTTATTATAAATCGCTAAGCTAGTAGATTATTTATTTTATTCGACTTTACAATCATGGTGCTTAAAAAAACGCATCCAAATTTTCCGATTCAACGTTCTCATTCATTTTAAACATTTTTTAAGGTTTAGCTTTTTTTAATCTATCGCTGCAGTCTAGTAAGTATGCCTTTGAAATTTATTATTATGTTGTGATGTGAGGCTTGACAAAAGCTGCATAATAGCCATTCATCGTTAGTTTTTATTGGCAATATTTTACAAAAGAGGCCAATAGGTCAAGAGCCTCAGGTTAGCATGCCATTTGCACACCGTGGGATATTATTCAATTGAATACTATGGAATTTATTAGTTGGCAAAATTTCACTTTGCTCTCAATCTAAGCATAAAAAGAAACTACTTATTAATTTTCATTGTTAAAATTATTTTGAAAATATTGTTTGCGAGTGTCTTTTAGTCACGATACCGTTTTTGTTCAAAAACTCTTGTATCACAATTTCTTAATGTATCTTCCTTTTATATATGTGCTATGAGCAATCTTAAGCTTTCATATCACACGATATATAGCCTTCAATGTCACAAAAAATAAATAAATAAATAATAATATATTATAATAAATAATTTAATATCATGCTGGTGAAATATCCTGACTCTCAATAACTTAATTATTGCATTATATTTTTTTTTCATTTATGATACGAAGCGACAGGACGAACACGTGCACCGTGCGCCTGGTGCATAAGCAACACGCCTGTCCATAACAGTTGCAAAGATCTGAGCGGCACTGCCATTACGCCACTACTACAACAAACCTTCGTTGACATTTATTGTTCAGTTGAAGCAATGATCTTTTATATACTTAAGAAAAGGTCATTGGATGAAAGGAAGCAAATGATCAATCGATCTCGACGGGCGCAATATCTTTTCTACCCTTTGCAAATAATTTTTAGAAAATGTTATGTATAAATTCGTCCATTATTCCTGGTGTTAAGAATGTTAATACTATATGAATTTTGTTTCTAACATGCCATACCTTTCTGAAGAATTTGCTTGATTTGCGTATTCAGGATGTAACAAAATTCCTACAAAGATATTTCGGTTGGTTGGCTCTCTTGTTGCATGATGAACCAACAGTAGATTACCCTTGGTAATCTACTGTTGCATTTCTAAGGAGAAATGCATACCTATCTTATTGTTTATTATATAGCATCAATAATACATTGCTGAATTAATAACGTAATCATAAATAATGCAACTATAATGTTGAGCCGACAAAAACCAAACACAAAGAGCACTCTCTCCTTCTCTATCCAAATGCATTACTTTAGTCTCCGAATCTCGATTCGTGGGTGAAAACAAAACATTACTGCTGCCATCACGTAGTTGAAACTAAGAACATTCTTTGACAGACTTTGGAACGCACTTCCCATTACTGTACATGACAGTAAATCCTTAGCTGTCTTTAAAATGAGAGTCAAGGAGCACTATTTATCCTCTATTCCATCCATTTTATAGACATTATAATATGAAATTTGTATTTATCTAAGTATTTATACAGTCTGTAGTAATTTAACATGCATTTAGCATGCTTTTTTTTATTATTATTTTATTACACAATCTAATTTTGTTTTGTTGTGCACGTAAACCCGTTATTGTAATTATTGTGTCCTGTAATTTGGTCTGCAGGAAGAAATTTCTTATAGAAATAAGCAGTACCTTTTGTTCGTGTTTTCCGTTTTACCAAATGTGATTTGTGTTTTCCTGTACAATAAATAATTAAATAAATAAAATAAATAACATTTTTTGCTATCTCTAATCTAATCTTTATATTTATTGTTACAATGATGATGAATTTCGTTTCAAAATTTGAATATTATATAATTCACTTACGTGACGTTAAATTATTTCGCCATGCTTTTGTAGTAACAAAATCATAAACATTTACAGTATTTGTGTACTACAACTTGTGGCACTAGAGCTCCTTGTGAAAGAATTCGTTCAAGGAAATATTGCCACCTTGCCGTAC